TTGTAACGCTAATCTGTTCAATAAAGCTACCGATCACGGCAAATGCCCGAAGTCCATAATATCAATTTATACGTGGTAGAGCTACGCTGCGTAGCTGATATAGTATAATATGGTTGTAGCACGAATGGGTCGGCTCGACCGGGGAAGGACCACGCTCTCACAGATTACCACCGTAAAATAGCAGCTGTGTTTCGTATGAGTGTAGAGAACCGGAGACTTGTTTTACTGGAATGGAGCCAATCCATCTTAGTCCTAAAGGGCAACGCATCTGCATTTTGATTATTAATCGAGGTTAAATGAAGATGTCTATGGACCGTAGTATCCACCTACCATCAGGTGGACTGTGTGTTCCTTTATCATCCTTATGCTATAAAAATCAAGCAGTTGTCTATTAATGAACTAAATTTCAAAACTGATGACCACGACAAACATATGATACTTAGTTTTCAACGACTGAAATAGTAAGTGATTCTCACAATAATGACTTTAAACAGAATAACAGTTTATATTTGATCTGTTAGCAAACTTTACTCGTTTGAACTTCCCGTAAGCAACGATCTTGGGCGAGTAATAGCAGCAAGATCGTCGTTATAACAACCTCACTGCGTTAACTGCCTCAAACAGCTAAGGGTAATGACACTGTTGATGTGTTTAATTTGCATGTATGGCACACTCATGTGGGATACACGCAAATACCGACTGCCTCTGTTTATTAGTATACAATGTAATTATTCTCGCATCGAATTGGATTTAATTAATATAATAGTGTATAAAATAATGGTTATCTCTTTTCTTACTAAATTTAATGTTTTCAGCATATGGTACTCTAGGTGGTAGGACATCCTTTATGTTTAGGAGTCTGGATAGGTACCACCTTATTTTATTATTTCTGCTGCCTTGATTTTATTGTTTCTGCTGCTTTCATTTTATTATTTCTGCTGCTAAGCCACTTTACTGCTAGCTTGCACTGCTGTGCTCCGGTATGAAGAGCCATTACTATTACTGAAAACAATAGGAACCACAACATAAACTTGTAATACCAGTCACTAGACTCCACAGAATTTGTAATTCATTATTGGGACAATGTCCCAACAAATTCCCAAAAATGTACAAAATTTGTCAATCAGCTAGTTTATATGTTTTATTAAAGAAACATTGTACAAATATTTATTATAATATCAATGAATACATAAATGAAAATAGTCCGTGGGAATGAGGTGATAGCTATTGCAAAATTGTACAAAATTATTGTTAAGTGAAACATGTATAAAAAATATATCCCGCTGGGTTTCCTGCTGGTTCTTTCCAGGACAAAGGCATTTTCCGAACCAGGAGTTAATAAGAAAATTACTTTCAATATGTATTTTATAATAATCTATATTGAAGTAAAAGCAGGACATGTGTTATTCCAACTTAGTCCTCAAAGGTGACACATTCTTTATTTGAAGTTTGCTGTACATGTCCATGAACTTACCACCAGTTGGACCGTAAGTATGTTGTAACTATAGTATTTAAAAAATAGGGTTCGCTCCGGAGGTGTAACAATTTTCTATCGTAACAGGGGTAAATTTAATGGAAATCCATTAAATTTACCCCTGCTCTATTCTTTGCTGACATTTGTTACCTTGATATAAACGAGGAGTAACTGCACAAATTAAAGCGACTTCAAAATGTCTTTATACGGTTCATATTCGACTTCGTAAATAAAACATGCCTCAGAATATCGCACTAAACTCAAATGGCTCCCACTCGCTGCGTCATATTTATTAAATCAAATTTAAAAGGATCTAATCTAAAGGAACGTTTTGAATTTCTCAGATTTTTCCTTAGAGTCCAAGGAAAACCTTTACTTTTTTTGTTTAGTGATTTCCTACATTTACTACTCTACATATATGTATACAAATAAATAAAATTTAAGTGTTTGTAATTGTGTTTGTAATGTCAAAATAACAGTTTTTACTAAATGCATACAGTATATACGGTACACATAAGAAAATTTTTTTTATAAATTTTTTGTCATTCTATCCGTCCGTGTGTTCCGGCTAATCTCCGAAAATACTGTGCCGATTTTGACGGGACTTCCAATGGCAGATAACTAATGTTATAGAAGTAACTTGAGGTACTTATATTTATAAAACTAATTAGAGTTTCGCACAAATAAAATAAAAACCCCCGAAATTCAATCGTTGTAAATTCTACGCGTACGAAGTCGCGAACAACAGCTATTCTATATCTATACATATAAATAAAATCGATGTATATTTGCCTGTAACATCGAAATAACTGCCTATTGAGATGATTCCTTTCTGTCAATCCGGGCTAACATTCGAAATGGCTGAACTGATCGCAATGAAACTGACGAACAGAGCAATGCCGGAAGTGATCTAGAATATCAATCAAAAAAGAGCAGCTTGGAGAAAAACAAAAGTTTTGATTTTTTTATTATAATAAATTTTTCTCAGTTCTTGACGTAAAATTTTATAACTCCTTACCTCTGTCGATTAAACGTCTGGACCTTTGTTCAAAAAACGGAAACAGGTTAAGGAACATTACTTGTCTTTCTAACTTCTTTCTCTGCATGTACACTATTCGTTAATTTTCTCTTTTTTAAATATATTTTTTTGCCATTGGTGAAGAGTAAGGAACATTCTATTGCATTAACGTATATATATATAGTACCCGGTTGACCGAGCTTTGCTCGGTATTTTTCGCTCGGTTTTTTTTTTTAAATTCGTGTGTTTTGGAAATTATATTTAGATACAAATTACATACTGATGAAATACGAATAATATTTTTTGATCTTAGCGACATAATAGAAAAAACTGCATATTTGAATAAAAAATCATGAGTGCAATTAGTTTAATTTAAATTTTCGTGTTTTTAAAAATTACTAAAAAAAGTGCTCGAAAAAATTGATTTTCTCAAAAAAGAAAGGAACTTGAAAAAAAATTAAGAAAAGTCGGTCGGTCTGGGCTCGATCCATGGTATTATGATTTTGTGACCGCCCAATATACCAATAATTAAACTATTTGTAATCGTTAATAAACTGTCAAAATTTACCTTCTTATTCTAACGATATTGTAGCAGTTTTTCATTGCCTAAAAACACTGACAAAATGACATTTTCTAAAAATAAATTCTAGCTAGATCGATTTATTGCCCCCGAAACTCCCTGCACACAAATTTTTATGAAAATCGTCGGAGCCGTTTCCGAGATATATGATTATATATATATATATATATATATATATATATATATATATATATATATATATATATATATATATATAGCAATAAATATATATTTTTTTATAGAATAGGGGTAGCAAACGAGCACACAGTCTACCTGATGGTAAGTGGAAGCTGTGGCCCATAGACATCTAACATTTATATCATATATATCTTCGATTAAAAATTGAAATGCAGATGCGTTGTCACCCCTGAGGACAGACGGAATGCCTCGTTTCCAGTAAAAAGTATCACCGGTTCTCCACACTCACAATACGAAACACAGCAGCTATAAGCTTCTATTTTACACTGGTATTCTGTGAGGGCGTGGTCATACCCCGGTAAAGCCGACCCATTCGTGCTACAACCATACTATAGCTGCAGCGTGGCTCTACCGCGTAAAAAAGCTTTAAATCCATAAAAGTTCTATTCACCCTTTTATACAGTTGTCGCTTAGCAGTAGTCAATCTTTGTCCACTGTTGTGATCCGGTTTTATAACAAGAGAGCACAGTATAATTACAGGCTGCAAGGCATTCCATCTTAGTCCTTGAGGTGATAACGCATCTGTAATTTGTAGGTCGTTTTCATATATCCATAATCTGCAGTACTCGCCAACAGTCCACATAACGTTCTGTTTTGCTAGTTCGTTTGACAATCAAAGTTTAAAAAAAGAACATAAAATATATATTTTAAATCGACGACTGTTCAAAGGAAATATTTTTACACCTGTCCTAATAAAAAGTTTGCATGTAAAATTACAGAGGTCATACATACAGATCAATCATTAGCCATTATTCAAACTGCGCTGGAACAAAAGAGCGGATACGAAATTTCCAACTGATCGATTCGCCGGCGTTTGGATGAGAAAGTAACGCATGGACGCGTCCAGAACGAATGTGGCAGAATTCTCAATTATTCCACGAAGTCTGGTTTCTACCGCTTTTGTACCCTCTTGAACACATAACGGCTGACCACAGTTTTTGCACAACCAGGTCCCGGACTTTTATTATAAAGCACTTGTAAATAGTATTAAATATATCTTATTAGTAAATAATATGTACTATTCACTATCGTTCATTGCATAATTAATAGAATCATTTTCCTGTCCAAAATTCCTTATTACTTTATTCATAACGAATATTTAAAAAAATTTCCTATGAATACATTGAAACAAAGAAAATTAGTACAAATTATATATGGAAGAACTTATTTTTCCTCATTGAGATATAATGGACTCTAGTACATATATCACTTTTATAGTGCAATGTATTTCCTATAAGAATTGTAGCGTTAATTGCGAGCTCTACATGGCGTAATACCAACATGCCGGCGTCAGCGTCTCATAATTTGTGTATCATTATAATAACTGGCTCTATTTTCATGAATTATGACAAGGTTCTATGTTTGCTTGTTAGCATAATCTTATTAGATTTATAACCTACCTAATATTTTCCTAAATTATTAAAAACACAATACTAAAAGTAACGATAAATGAAGGAGTAAATTTTGACAATGAAACGTAATATCTATACCTAATTGAAGTATCTGTGACTAAAAAAATAAAAATAATTAATACAACTCATAACCTCTAAATAACATGCATGAATCATACATAGTAATACAACCTGACGAAAGTAAACGGATTGTCTACATTTTTAGAAGACCTAAAGGATATGCGTATAATCTATTTTATTTAATAAGAAGCACATATCATATTTTAAACTCAGTTAATCAGCCGTGAACTTAATCAAAAATATTAAACAATAAGTTACCTGTTATAGTTGCCAAGAGAATCGCTAAAGCCGCCACACCTGTCGCTCTTACTCGCGGGGACATCATCTTGTCTCTTTTCAACACGATACTAGTTTTAAGTTCTCATAAACAAGAAAAGCAACTGAAAATTCAAACTGCGTCTTCAACGGCTTCTGTCTGGCTTAAAACAATTAACAATTACACTTGTGATTTGGTACACCTACGCGAACTATATTGTTTGTTAAAGGTGAAGTAGATAAAATTAATCCACAAATTACACAACAAATGTCTCTAACATTTCAGAATTCATGTAAATAATGTTTTTCCTAGTTGTCCATTCAAGTTCATTGTGATGCTTTACTGTGATCAAAGATTCAAAGAAGAAGAATGTGACAAACTTGTTTCGTATAGTAGTTTCTGTAGTGACGGAAGCGATGCGTACGTCCGTCCTACTCGAGCGCGAAGGCGAACTGTTGCTACACAAGCGACACGATGCTATGACGAGTAAATGCTGAACTACAAGCGCCAGCCGCCAGCCATGGATTCGAAATTGCTGCACGTTAATTCGCATCATACTCTTAGTTTGACCAAAAAGACCAAAAAGTTTAATCAAAAGAGTAATTTACGAACACAAAATCAAAAAGTTGATCCGCAATATACATAATATTTTTATTATTGTGGAAATTTCTAAAACTCCTCGTCATTCATTTTAACCGAAACTGTACGGAACATATAATATAGTATGAATTAGAAAAATATCATACACTTATCTAACCTACTTAGTTACTTAGCAATCACCTAGAAATCTAATATTATTTATCTTTTTTTTTTTTTTGATTTCATCGCTTGACCCGGTCTCTACATTCTCTACCTAGAGTGGTGTAAACTTCTTTCTTCTTAGATCTTTTTCCTTAGATAATTTTTAAGTATATTATGAAAGTTATTTTATATCATGATCATTCAATATCCGATATGTTTCATACTTTCTACTTTACACGTATTTACAATTAGTGCACATATTACATGAAATTAATTTACATATATTTTTAATTATGCATTTGAAATGATATCGTTAATCGACTTCATTACAGTTACCGTTTGCTTTGAATCCGTTATAGTAAGATTGCCTCATTTTTTTAATAGGACATGGTGACAAACGAGCACACAGTCCACCTGATGGTAAGTGGTTGCTGTGGCCCATAGACATCTACATCTATCCTCGATTACGAATCAAAATGCAGATGCGTTGTCACCCGTGAGGACTAAGATGGAATGCGTCTTTTCCAGTAAAAAGGGTCTCCGGTTCTCTACACTCACCATACGAAACACAGCAGCATTACGCTACTATTTTACGCTGGTCTTCTGTGAGAGCGTGGTCCTTCCCAGGTCGAGCCGACCCATTCGTTCTACAACTATACTACTAATATAACTGCGGCATGGCTTTAACACGTATCGCCTCATGGGAGAGATATTCGCCATAGTTGCCACACTTGCCTGGAAAGTTGGCAGCTAATTTTTTATTTTTAGTTGTTATTACGAAGACATTGCTGTTCTACTTCTGATTTCCGTAAATTGACTGATGATTATTGTAATAATCATCAATAAGTTCGTTACAGTTTACCTTATGGTAGCAAATTGTCCATTTGGAATATGAAAAATTAAATATTTAATAAATAATTTAAATAAGCAATTATGAGGTAACTATGGTATAATTCAATTAAACTTTACATTAGTTTAATTAAATGTTAATTATCATTAAACATTCTAGTAAGTAATTCTTATTTATCATTTTCTAATGATTATCATTATATTCCTATGCAGTTGCGGCATAAGAGTAATATTATGTGGGTGTCCCAAGAGACGGAAAGAACCTGCAATAGGAGATAATCATCACCAGCATCCCACTAATAACTTAATCTTAATCTAACGACAGCTCAAAATAATAAAAATGCGTATGCCAACTCACCAGTCAAGCGTGGAAGTTAAGGCAAATATTGCCTTATTTTCCTTGTCTGATTGCCTTAGATTTTAATATAAGGTAATCCATGAGTGGTGGAGCCACGTTTTTAAGGCTGCCGAAAATCTAGTTCCCCGGTCAAACCTCAAACCTATTACGCGAGATATTAACTAAAGTGGACTGTATATGCGATTGCTTCTATGCTTATGTGAAGCGACTACTATAGCATGCGGTACAATGCACTCGCTCTTCCCTAAACTAAACTATTACTTGTCGAATCGATGAAAGGAATCCTGCTTGACTAGGAAAAAAACACAAATTGGAGCGGGTTAAATTATTAGCAAGCAGGTATAATTAAGGAGTATTGACTCACCGGGGTTTCTTCTTCCTGTCGATCACTATGGCGGCGACTTCCGGAACACTCCGGAGAGAGGCGGTGCGCGACGATATCTCACACGAGGTGAGGCGGGTTCCTGGAGCTCGACTGCTTCCAGGCCAAAGCGGTTTCCACTAGTGAGGTGTTTCCAAACGAGCGCGCGGGAAGAGGAGGTTGTAGTTCAACGACGACTGCGGCGGGAGAAGAGAGCGCGCGTCGGTCGCGCGTGTCTTATATATCCTCGGGTCCGATGATTACGCGATGTTCTAGAATCGTCTTCTTTCCCCTCCCACCCCACCACCCCGATGTGTCGATAGGAGGGTACGAATGATATTGTTTCGGAAGGGAATAATGATTCGACAAATTCCTACCGTCAAAAATAAAAAACGCGAATGGTTTTCCGCGCAACCATCTCCCCCCGCCCTTGAAGGATTTCCTTCAAAAAAAAATAACTAAACAACTAGAGCTAAGATCGACTAACAAATAACTAACTAACGCTAAGATTACCTAAATTAAACTACAATTTCAGTCAAAAAAGCTAATTTAAATTATGGAAGAGGCAAGGGGCACAAACGGATAACCGGACGTAGGTAAGACCCAACCGTGGTCTTAACGCGAGCTATCCTAATTACTCCGTCGGAACCGGGAAAGACCTCCTCGACGATTCCTAACGGCCAGTGGAGAGGCGGCGTATTCTCCTTAGTGAGCACAACTACGGTTCCTACAGCTAAAGGCTCTGTCGCTGTGTTCCATTTTTGCCGAGACTGCAAAGTATGCAAGTATTCCATCCTCCATCGTTTCCAAAACGATTGCACTAACCGATCTAATAATTTGTGGCGTGTGGAAATGTTAAGTCTGTTCTCATCCATATCCGCGGCGGGCAGATACCTTAGAGGCGTTAAAGTCAAAAAATGTGCTGGAGTTAGAGCCAGCGGTTCCGAGGGGTCACTAGATAACGTCCGACAAAGTGGGCGGCTATTCATTACGCATTCAATTTGAGCGAGCACCGTACTTAGCTCTTCGAAGGACAAAATTTGATCTCCTATTACTCGGTATAAGTGGCTCTTTAGACTTTTAATATTAGTCTCCCAATTGCCCCCAAAATGACTCGCGGCTGGGACGTTCAGAGACCATTCAATGCGGTTCTCGGCTAGAATGTGAGCGAACTCCGAATTATAATACTTGCTAGCTAAGAGCTCATGTAGTTCCGATAGAATACGTTTTGCACCGACGTAGTTCGTACCGTTATCCGAATATAATCTACTTACAGGGCCTCTGCGCGATAGAAATCTTTTAAATGCACCCATAAAGCCTGCTGTGCTTAGATCACCAACGAGTTCTATATGCACTGCTCGAGTAGTTAGACATACGAAAATGCAGACGTAAGCCTTTGTGGATCTTATACCACGCCCGCGAGTGAGCGTGACCTTAAACGGACCAGCAAAATCAGACCCGGTGTGCGTGAAGGGCTTTACCGATTGTATCACTCTACAAGATCTAAGTTCCGCCATTTCCGGAAATGACGGCTTGGGGCGTGCCCGAAAGCAAGCTATACATCTGTGCACCCGATTGCGTATTAAACTACGTGCAGAAAGAATCCAATAATTCTGACGCAAGATCGACATCAATAAATCGGGGCCAGCGTGCGAGTTCAATTTATGATGATAATCGACTAATAAGTTCATGATATGGTCTTTACGCGGTAAAACTATAGGGTGCCGTTGGTCGAAACTCAACTGCGAGTTGGACAAGCGTCCACCTACCCTTACAATCCCATCCTGTAAAAATGGCTTAAGGCGTTGAAAGGCGCGACTACAAGCTCTATTCGATTGTAATCTTGTAATTTCTTCAGAGAAGTGTGCACGTTGAAGTTCACGTAATACTAGCGACTCGGCATAGTTGTAATCGGATGCTAAGACATACGAACGTCGCGGTAAAAGCTTCGCGAATCGACAAACGTAAATTACGCTACGCAATAATTTCGACCAAGAGGACAAGCGGTTCGCCAGAGCAATGATTGGAGAAACCTCGCTCGAAACGTTCGCCACTAGAGCGTGTCTCTTCTCTTCCGGCGGTTGTGACACTGACGAAGGTTCGAAATCGGTTATTGGCCATTGTGAGGGATCCAAGTGAACCCAAGAAGGTCCATGGAACCAAAGCGGGTGGTCCATTATTTGCATCGGGGTGAGTCCCCGGGATAGACAATCGGCAGGGTTTTCCTTACCGGACACGTGATAAAAGTTCCGCGTTTCTAACTCGTCTTGGATCTTGGCCACTCGGTTCGCGACAAACGTATCCCAACGGTGGGGTGAAGAATGAACCCAACATAAGGCGACGGTGGAGTCGGAAAAGGCAAATATTCTTTCTATGTGAACTCTATCCCTACATGCGCCGATAACTGTGGTAATAAGCTTGGTGAGTACTAATATTGCGCAAAGCTCTAAGCGCGCCAGAGAGACAACCTTACGGGGGGAGACTCTCGACTTAGAACTAATGAGGCTAATCGAATTTCTACCATTATTCTGGACATGGAAATATACAACGCCCCCGTAAGCCTTCTCGCTGGCGTCTGCAAATCCAACAACCGTTATGCTGCTATTTCTATCGACATTTATATGACGCGGTATTTTAATTTCTCTTAGTAAAGGAAGTTCCTCTCTAAAGCGCTGCCACAATCGAACAATGCTGTCAGGCGGCGAGTCATCCCAATCGCATTCAAATAACCAAAGTTGTTTAATCAAAAGCTTAGCGTAT